CACGTGAAAGGTGGCCCTAGATTATAAAGCCTGGGACTACTGCGGGATAGAACTCCTCTACCTTTTGTTGTACCTTGCATCCCCTTGCGACTCATGCCCTCTCTACTTAGAGTCTTTTGTCCGTTCCTCCTCTGCTTGAATCACCACCTCCAAATAGTTCAACAAGGCACCCAAAGTACCAAATCATAGACCCGCCCACCTTAAAAAGGAGCCCAGTTCTCAATCTCTTCTTGAAATTGATGCAAAGGCGTTCCTCCGTCGCCATAAGTTTCGGTGCAAACCTCAAAAGGCTAGTGAAAGCCACCTCAAAATAGACCACTAGGGTGCTCAATTGCTTGAGCTTCAAAAACTATTCTCTCAACTTCTCTCTTGCTATGAGTAGTAAAAACTTATCCTAGAAGGCATTAACGAAAGCCTCCCAAGTCACCCCGATATGACCCCTTGCAAACTTCCACCACTGACCTGCGTCACCCTTCAGCTGAAAGGCTGCCAAGGTCACCCTCAAATCATCATCCACGATGCCAAGCATCTCAAATGTCTTCACCATCTACTTACGCCATTCATTAGTCTTTAATACGCCATTCATCAGTCTTTAATGGCTCCTTCGTATCCTTGATAAACTCATTCAGATTCGATCAGAGGAACTCCATCTTCAGAAAAAATGGTCATGTCTCTGCAACGTGGGCCAGGACTTGATTCTCAACTCTGAGAATGTTTATGGATTCTTACTATGCTCTTGCCATTTTGCCTGCTAAGGCACCCACGGCTTGCTAACCTGCTAGCTCGACTACGTTTTCTTGACTGACTCCCTCCTCTTGTGCCAGAATTTCATCAGGAATCGACACTTCCTGCCGTCTGGGCCTACCACGCTTACCATCACCACATTCGCGTCTTGACATATTAATAAAGGTAAACAAAATTTAGCACATTCACAACATGCCATAACTAATTTACAAATGTCCTACAATAGTGGACTACACAATAATTTCACTACACATAAGCATCGAATCACATATTCACAAACAAATTTATTTTCTAGATAATGACCATTCCACGACATTACCAGTGTTCATGTTAGAATTAGAAATGATCAAGTGCTATTCTAACAGGACTTTTAGGAATTCGTAAATATAACCAATATCTTAGAATCAAAATTTCATACTCACTTAATCACATATACATTTTATCTCATAGCATACTAGGTATATGCCTATTAATATCTTGAAAGACAAACCCATTATGGTAATAACCACTTCCCATGAGCCCGAAGTATTCAAACCCGGTAAGTTCTGATACCAAGTTGTAACGCCCCCAAATAACAACAACAGATAATCCCATAAAGTGCGCTAGTTATGTTGAAACTAATAAGATTTCATTCCATCATTAATTCACTTGATAACATTACGAAAGGCATCACATGCATTATACATTCATAAACCTTAGATTTTGAATCTATAGCATGTGACACAAGGCAATATACAGAAAATGAAAGAAAATACAATTAAGTTCGTGCCTTAATGGCTACAAATTTCCAATGCAATGCTTAGTTACAACAAAAGTGGGTCAAGACCAAAATAAATATATATATATAAAAAACCCGAGGCGTGTAAAAAGATATTTACAATACAAAACGAATGAACGTTCAACTCCAATATCTTCCGGAGCTAAGTCTTTGGTGGAGGCATACCATCAACATCTGAAAGTTGGTTTCCACATAGGGTGAGCTAAAGCCTAGTAGAAAATATTTTAACACAATGTATGATGGTTAACAAAGTCATATGGTGAATGCATATGCATGTCATTTACCAAAACGTTACACTTTTCTCTTTTAAAAAAATGCAATGCCATGATTATAATTCCATTCGTAAAACAACTCTTTTTAAATAAGAAGATAGGACAGTGGATACACAACACTGGGAATCTCTGGGTACGTGTCTGCCAGTGGGCTATATAAGCACTACCAAAGCCATTTTCCCAATACTAACCAGAAGGATCGACACTACCCGAACCCGTCCCTATAGGTTAAGGTCATAACCGACCAGTAATCATGAGATTACCTGCGTCTTCAAACCAAATTAAATGTATCTCAGTAGTAATGAAGGGGCCAAAACGGAAGCAGACTTAAAAATTTTGTCCAATGAACTATGTTTACATGGCATATCAAAACATTTCCTATATGTAAGATAATAGCTCACATCATAATCGAAATTAACATCTTGTACATCCAAGATCATTCAAACATGTTTTCAGCCAAATTGAAAGTTTATATACATAGGTGATCTAACGGAATCACCAAGGTGGCAAAAGAGTAAAACAAAAGAACAAAAACAAAGTCTCGTGTCTGAGACATCCGGGCTGACTCCGCAAAACCTGGGTTTCTCTCACATTCTTCATTGGGGCCGGGGTTGGACATCTCTTTGCTCACCTATATACATATAAATAAGAGTAAAGCCCAGTGAATAATACTAAAGTAAAGAGGTTATATGAATGAGACTCATATTAAGTACATTGAACCCGTAAATTTCGTAAACAAACGGCCATAGGCCCATTCTTTGTTTTTGTTCTACATGACAAACGGCCTTGGGCCCATTTTAGATCCTTATCAAACATATCAAATGGCCTCGGGCCCATTGCACAACTTTGTCAAATTCATCAAACGGCCTGAGGCCCAATTCAAACATTTCAGACGTATCAAACGACCTCGGGCCCATTATTTTCCATATTCATATTTGTGCGCATTTCATATTCATGATCATGATCTATTTTTACATTCATATTCAAACGTATCAAACGACCTCAGGCTCAATTCATATATATCAAACGTATCAAACGGCCTTAGGCCCAATTCATACATATCAAACGACCTTGGGCCCAAATTATGTTCTTCGTAGAACCTTATACAAAAATTAGGCTATTGAATACTCATTCATAATTCAAATCAACAAATCCGTGAAGCTTATACAAAAATAACATTTAGAAGATAACATACTTGAAAATATCTTTACTAAGTTATTACTCAAAGTGTTCCTTCAATGGATTCGTCCTCACGCTTGACCCTGCACATTTCATAACACATTGGGTCACAAGCAATTCAATCTGTTTTTAACTTATTTATTTCTCTTAGGCCTCTTTCTTATTCCTTTAGTTCATTTATAATGCTCAATGCATGCCTAAGAGTGCTTAGAAATGAAAGAGAACAGAAAACAGAACATGAAATGACTTTTCAAAATTTCTGAAACAGGGCACTCCGCTCAAGCGCAGTTTTGGTCACTCGAGCGGTTTGCAAAACTCTATGAAAATGCTAGTTGCATTTACGCTCAAACAATATTTCTGTCGCTCGAGCGATGAGTTTTGCAAAACTAGGTTCGCTCGAGCGCAAGGTTTGCCGCTCGAGCTACCGTACAATTCTCTGTATTCTGGGAGCTTGATTTTTACGCTCGAGCGGACAGTCCTAATTCTAGAATTTCTAGAATTGTGTTTGAAGCTCAAAACACATTCCAAAGATCCAATTTCATGCATAACCTACTTAAATATTACAAGAACACTCCCAAATACATATATTTGAAAATAACTTTGGCCCTTAGTTCAAAATTCCATGAATGCAACAAATTTTAAACCGTAAACTTTATATATACATAATCTATGTTTTGTATCTTGCTTTGCATAGACAAGCTTCGAGGCTTGAAATTAAGCTTGAATACATGAAAATTCTTACATACATGTGTCAAATAGCCCTCTATACAACATGATCAACATGCTATACATTCAAATATACAAAATTATGGCCAATTCATACATGCATGCACATATCAACTTCAAATTCATCATAATCAACTCAATTCTTGTTTTTAGTTACATACCAAGCTTGAATATGAACTTAAACTCATGGATTTGAGTTCAACTACTCACCTAGAAGCTTCAACCTTTCCAATTATAGCCAATTCTTGAGCTAATCCTCCAAGTTCTTGAATTCACTTACAAATCTTCAAGGTTGATCCTCTCTCTCTCTCAGCTCACACTCTCTCTCTCGAGTGTGTATTTTTAGATTTTTGAGCTCATCCCATGAGCTTAAGGGGTTGTTTGGGATGACCTAAATAAGTGTACTTTTTGTCTTTTTACAAAAAGATGTGCAGAAAAGTAGAGAGGTGATGTGATGGAAAAAAGATAAAAAGATAAAAAGTGCGCACTTATTTTGAGTAGCCAAACTTGGCCTAAATGTGTTTTACACATATATATATTTGGTGATTAGCTTAAGTTAATCAAACTCAATTAAGACTAACCAATTGTACTTAATTTAATCAGTTTAATCTAATTATTTTGATATGAATCAATTTTCAATTAAATTTTGTAGTAGGTTCTAAAAATTACACTAATCACAATGGTACCGTCAATTTCAATTTTTGCCGTCTCTACGACCTTCAATTTTCAAATTATAGCAGTAAATTGTACAGGTTTTCCTATGGTGAACAAATATGACTTCAAAAATACAAATTCTCACATAATTACACTGTAACAAAAAAGAGTTTTTACAGCGCGCAATGCACGCTGTAAAAACCCTTCTACGACATGCAACGCGCGTCATATTACGACTAGTCATGAAAAGTCATTCATTTTCAACGATATGCTTCGTATGCCGTTAAAAACTATTTAATGACAAATTTTGCGCGGCGTCATTAATTTTTTTACGACATGCTATAATATGTCGTTAAAAACTATTTTAACGGCAAATTTTATGCATCGTCGTTAATTTTTCTATGACTACTTTTGCATGCCGTTAATTAACAAGACAAATAATGACATTGATTGCGTGCCATAAAATATGTAATACAACGACTAATTATCCTTGCTCCAGAATATGCAATTTTTATTTTTATTTTTAAATTCAGCAGGTTCTATTTGACCAATTTTGTACAATCTAACAAATATTACAAACAAGAATCACAAAACATCAATCAACCAGCAAAATATTGTTTGAAACATCAAAAAGAAACTATATCCATAAATCATAAACATTCAACAATTGTCTATACATTCCAAACATTCAAAAACTATATCTTTAAGTTCTAAACTGTACAAAAAGTTTAAACCGTCAAAAACTATGCATATCTAACTTTCTAAACATATCGACAATTACTAATAGATTATTCAAAACTATCGACAACACTTCCTATAATAGTTGCAGCAGCAGCTGTAGCAAATCCACTTGCTTCTATCATAGGGACGAGGGTGCCCAATGTGTTAAGGCACTTAAACCCGCAGCAATAGTTGAAGCAACTAACCCTGTTGCATTTATTGTTTGCATAACAAAGGAAACTTCACATAAGTACAAAAACCGACGACTTGGAGACAAAAATATTTCTTAAGGTATTAAGAAATGATTAAGAAATTTTAGAACATCAACAAAACATTTCCAAAATTAATAAAATGATTCAATGGCCCCATAAAAGCAATGTCATAATGAAAAATTAGTAAAAATTGAATTATCTCAAAAGTCTCAACGTATATGCAAATAAAATCCACATAAATCAAGACCTTTTTTCATATCTCTAATGAAGTTGCCTCTAATGAAGCTACCTCTTTTGTTGCAATGTTTCTAGAGGGAAATGAGTAGAAATCTTCAAACAAACCATTAAGTTTGTAAAGGAAAATATAGTTTGGCACTAAATCCAGGCCATAAGGAGCTCAAGAGAAAAATTAAATTTAAAAAGAGGAAGAGGTGAAATTAATCTACTTCAATGAAACACCTACTTAGGACTTGCACAATTATGTTAAAGGATCTCTATGTACGAGGTTCAGGTTTGTATAGTCTTATCCATTACCATTGTAAGTTCCAAAATAAAGAGTCCAAGTCAAATTAGAGTATATATTATTTACAAGTTTAAAAAGAAACTTTCAATCCATTATAGAAGAAATTTAGGTAAGTTTTGGTAGCTTTAGGCACTTTTTGGAACAATGTGATGTAATTCTACTTGAGTACTTAGTAGCAAATACATAAGATAAGGAACTATAGGAACTATAGCAAATACATGAGATTATTATTTGTAGTTTATCTATAGATCAATTGGAAAGAAAAATATCAACAAATATGCCACGAGAGAAGCAAACATGTTTTATTTTTTTATTTTTTTTAACAAAAAAACATGTTATATTGAAAGAATGTGTAATGAATAAGAACAATAATAGCAATAATTAAAGAAACAAAGATAAGAAAAAATGTTCTAGATTATTTTCAAGGTACCATAGTTCATATAATGTGGAATGTGCAAGACATGCACAGGCATCAAGTAAATCCAGCTTAGACATATATCAATGACATGGTGAGATTAAAGCTTACAGGTATTAGCTTGTGTGGAAATTGAAGACCATCAGTGCCTATGAATGCCCCTCCATTAATCCTCTCATCCTGTAGTGCTTCCCCTGCAACCATAAGATACCAAAGCTAATAATATTCTAACAAGGCAACCTAGATAAAATCGGGAAAATAAATCCTAAAAACAATACATATTTATAACATAAATGAATATTTTTTGGCGAGAAATCTATACCCAAAAAAAAAAAAAATGTGAAACCACCACAAAATAGTTTCTACCATATGCTAAGACTATCCATAGAAAAGCAACATCATGATGATTTACCCAATTTATCTAGGGGTGCAACAACTGTCCCTCTCAGTAGCAGTGACAACTGAGTAATAAAGTGAACTTTAGTCGAAACACAACAATATTGAACTACTCTGAAAACCAAATCATTTAAAGATAAATGATTGCCAGCTATGAATGGTGAAACTGTGAAATTTCCCCAAGATGAGCATTGGCCCCAATTTGCAAGCTGAGAGAATGTGACCAATGTGTGCCCATCACCACTAAGGTCAATACCTAAGAATGAGCCATGTGTGTACCAAATGATGAATACACCAACAGTTGCCATTCCAACATATAGCCCAATAATCCATTTGTTAATTATACAGATTATTATACTTCAATCTCATGGAAATCAGTTTTTGCAATGTGAAATCAGTTTTTCCAAACTTTTTACCAGATAGCGGAATAAGTCCGAGGATTGATGAGCATGTCATCACTTTGACGAGGGGGTTTCTTCATGATGTCCCTATCTGGTGGATTGAATCCAAGGGTTGTCGCAGGAGGTCGATCTGTGAAAAGGTTGACCCACAAGGGTTGGACGGGATTAGGCCTTCTGGGACCCCTAATGCCGTTGTTAAAAATATTGAGGCAACCTCACCTATATTTGAGGAGATCATGTACTTGCAATAAGGTGAAAACCATTCACAACATGAGCCCAATTGAAAGTTCATTTCTGCTACAAGACGGATTATGAATTACCCTTTTCTTGATGTGTAAAAAGCTGCAAATGTTTATAAATGATTCAAGGCATAGTTTTATGGTTGAGATGGATTAATGCTATCATTGTAGATTTTTCCATAGGAAACATTTTTTATCAACTATTTTAATGCAGTGATTGATTTTAGGATTGGTTTCTTCTATATAAACCAAGTATTGTAATGGTGAAAATACTTTTTTGGTGATCAAAATTTAGTGTTTCTTTTTCTTTTAACTTTTGGGTATTCAGTATGAATCAGCCAACTGTTGATGCCTTTAACCCTCATATTCATACAGAATCAACAGATTTAAAAAAAATATATAATTTTGCTTTTGGTATTCATTCTTGAATCAACCTATTCAAAATCTTGCTCTGCTTTTCTCTTTATATGCTTCGATCATTTACTGCTTAGAGGGGAAGATGGGAAAGCACCTGATGAAAGCCTTCATGTTGTTGTAGATAGACCTCCTTTCACTTATTACAGCAACTATCGTACTGAAATTATCATCAGCCAACACCATATCAGAAGCTTCCTTAGCAACCTGGAAAGAGAAGAGAAATTAGTTTCAAGTTTCAAACAATGCTAATCTAAAGAAATGAAGAAAAAACACACCTCCGTCCTAGCAATTCCCATAGCTATTCCAATAGAATTGGCTTTGTTTGGCTGGGATAAGTCCATTTTTCTATAAAAATTTCATAAAAAAACTTTAGTTCGTTGGCGTGCTTATTTACCTCCAAATGCCAATTTTAAACACTTCAAAAATTCAATAGAAAAGTCACACAAAAAAAAAACAAAAACAAAAACAAAAAAAAGTTAGGAATATGCCAAACAAATCAGTTACTTAGCAACAGATCCTCAGTTTGGTTAGTTGATATCAATGGTGGAACTTCCTCCTCCTTAGGCTCAGGCTCAGGCTTCTGTTGTGTATCTACCAGTGTTTCTTTATCTTCAGCTTCTTCAACTTCTTGTTGTTCACTTTCTCCAGGGACAGCTTGTTTAGGTTCTCCACTTGTCTCCTCATACTCCTATATTGTTGTTAACAACCAAATCAACACAAGCATTCCACAAATAATCAATGTCAATACCCATCTCATTCATTTTTTTTCATGTGTCCCCCAATGTGTTGTGTCATGATTTTTTGAAAATCATTATGTCAGCATATCCATGTTGTGCTGTATTTGTGTCCCGTGTCCATGTCCATACTTCATAGATTTATATACATTGCAAATAAAAATATATAATAAAAAATTCATATTCCTGCTATCCATATCCTAATTGTTTTTTTTAAAAGACAGCGTCATGTGTCCGTGTGTGTATATGTAACTGTATTTGTGCTTCCTAGGTAATCCTGATGCAAGTGAATCAAGGTTATCATGAAGTGGATCCAATTTAGAAAATAAAATCATTTTTAAGACCTTGATTTTGCAGAGTCTAAAACATTTTTTAATATTTGCAATCTCATCAAGAATTAATCCGGTCCCTTGTGGTTCAACACAAAGGTCAGTCCAGAAAAGCAACTTTTTGAACGACTTTGTTAAAATGACTCACTGGGAGTGGAAGTTTGCATCAATAAAATTAGGTAATACTTCTTAAGAGACTTGACCTAATCAGAGTTTGACCTAAATTCTTATAATCCATTGTATTCATATATTTAGCTAGGTTTCTACATATATGCAGTATACTTTGCCAACTATTAACATATTACACAGTGAGGGCACAGGAGCACAACATGATGAAGATATAATACTTCTACCTTAATCATACTCAATCTCTCTCTAAAATATGAAAGTATTTTTTTAAAAAGTTATTTAACGTATCCCCGTACCCGTATCCAAATTTGGATACATATCCACGTATCCTTAATTTTTAATTTTGAAGTGTCCGACCCTTAGATACGGTACCCGCACCCGATACTCGTACCCGAGTCCGTGTAACATAGGTCATGGTAATAAGACATCTTAACAATTTAGAGTTTTACTTCAGCTATAAATTTTGCACAATACTCAATCTACGTAATTCTATTTTTGGACAACTAGATTTCAGAATTTATTGAGTGAAAGTGTATGAATTTCTAGAAATTTAGCAACGAATAGTAATCAATAAAAAGCACATGGAATTTTGACGATTCACTTTTCCTTTGGCTGAATATTTCCAATGAAATTCAAGTAAAAGTAGGCTAGATGATTAATACTATGAATTAGGTCCCGGTCTCAAGTCCACTTATGACCTAGCAAAAGAGATATTAGAATGACAAATAGATTTATGACAATTTTAAACAGTAAAGTTGCTGATTTCAGGCACTAGTTTTGACAATTTAGAGGGGGAGTTCACAATGAGCCAAGAGGAAAACACCAAAAAATTGAATAAATAAAATAAAAAGAAAATCACCATGTGGCAAATTTTGGGTGCATTTACCCATGGAAATGACATGATACAATGCCATGAATCTGAAAAGGGAAAAAACAGAGCATGAGCATGAGCCATGATTGCTTAAATAGAGCAACAAACGCACTACATTTCAAGGTATACCTCCCAAACATGACATGAATAGTATCAAAGGTGAGCCTTCCTCTAGATTGTCTTGTAACCTCATTCCACACATTATCAAACTCTTTTATTCTAATGCTATCTAGAGGCCAGAAGTAGTGAACCTGCAGATTAATGAAATTTTAACTACATGAAAGAGATTTAAACACAGAGTTGCATGGTATAGCTATTAATTTTCATTTGTTTCATTTTGTTTTGTCAATAAGCTAAGGAACAAAATCTTGGTGGCCACTAGCCATATAAAAAATCAACAAAGATAACATATAATGCAAGGTTGATATACAAGAGAACAACACATTTTAAAATAATGAAGACCTTGACAAAACTAACATATAAAAGGCATGTTGACTACTTTTTGGTCACATAAATCAATGAATTATATAAAAAAATCAAACAAAATAATTTGAAGGATGATAGAAATCTAAGTTTGGCTTAGGCAGTTAGGAAACCAATCACATATGAATAAAGAATCACTATGAGGATTGATAAAAATTATAGTAGCTTAGCAACTAACATTAGTAAGATAAAAAAAGCCCCATTTGCTAGAGCTAAAATGGTTCCAAATTTCAAGACAAATTGATTTCCTTTGCTCTTATTTCTCAAAGAATCAAGATATGAAAAGACCTAGAAGAGACTAAACATTCAAAATAAACTTCCTATTTTAAGATTATGAATACTGAAAACAAAACCAAATTGAGTATCAGACCTTCCTTCATATATTGCATTTTAAGATGTAGACCAAGTAATAATTTATTCCCATGGTATGTAAGGGGTTGCATCAACATGTTTAGACTTTAGATAGTGCCAGGAAAAGTTTGATGATCTATTCTAACATTTTCACATTGTCATTAGTTGATGATTCCTTCTGATTATGTTTGATTAATTTCTAGTTTAGGACTCTAATATATTAGATTAAGTAGTGGTTAAAATGGTGAAAACTGATAAGTCAAGAAAATACATATCTACAATTTACAATTATGACTAACCCCATCTAAACCGATGTTTTGGTTTGTGCCATTATAGTAGCATGCAATTAACAGAAACCAATACCGCAAGGTCTAATATAGACTTGGCTTTCCAGCTGACATGAAAATAAAAGTAATAAACTATTATATTAGCAGAGTTGTAATAGTATAGAATTACAAAGATCACCTCAAGTATTTAGTTCGAGTGGATCTAGGAACTCATTCACTTTCACATGGCCATTTGAATATGCAGCAACCTATAAGGAAGTCAAAGAAAACACCATAGACATCATCAAAATCACAATTCACAATTCCTTGTTGTAATATATTTCCATAGAGCAATACATCTAAAAAAATAATAAAATAAAAACTGACAGCATAAATTATAGAAACTTGAAAATTCCACAGCTATTTAGAGCAGAAAAGGGGGCTATTACAAATTAATACAAAAATAACCACATTTCAATAACCCTTGAAATCTTCTTCTCATAAACCCATCAAAATTCACAGGAAAACAATAACTCAATTTGCTCTTGTCCTTGTCCAATCGATCCATGTTTGCAACAGAGGCAGATAGTCAGGGCATGTTTGGTTTGTCTCTCAAAACATGTTTTTGGAGAAAAAGATTCCAAAAACTTGTTTGGTTGAATTTTTTTTAAAAAAAACTCCAAAATACCTTAGAAATCAAAACATGTTTGGCTTCAGATATTTCAAGATATTTCATCAAATTCCTCACTGTCAAAAACCCTAGAAATCAAATCCTAGCATCATATATTAGCCGAAATCAAAGCACATATCGTAAACCCCCAAAACACTAGAAAGCAAAGACCCTAAATCCATACCTACTTTTCGGGTCAGACCCATTTGTCGTCGATCCACTCCTAGTGAACTTGCAACTCCGAAAACCCAAACTCGATCTCGTCGGGACGGTTCTACAAGGTGACTACGAACTTGGAATTGTTGAGAACTATGGTGATGACACCAATCCACCATCCATCACATTAAGACGCATCGACAACATCGTATATTTCGAAGGAAAGAACAAGGTCAGACTCTAAAGGAGGAGGCAAAGGCCTAATGAAGTCGGGTTTGATGTGTTCTCTCAAGAGGGTAGAGCCATCATCGTCTAACAAGCTCTAGTACTCAACGAAGAACTGGCCGTTCTTCTTCTTCGAAGATGAAGCCCTAGAAGAAGAAGGGGTGTCCAGAGATGATGAAAGCACATAAAGATGGAGAGATGGTGTGGCAGAGAGAGATAGTGAGTGCTAAAGGCTTTTCATTGATTTTCTTTTTTTCTTTTTTCTTTTTTCTTTTTTTTTTCCTTCTTCGTGGATGTTTGGCTCGCAAAATTTTTATTTTGGCGCCTATTTTTATTTTAGTCATATTATTCACAACAAAAATTGTGTGTCGTGAAAAGTAAAATACTTTTAATGGCTATCATATGTGTGTCATAAAAAGTGTACTTTTTAACGACTGACTTTTTGTACGTCGTAAAAAGTGTAATATTTTTAATAGCTGATTTTTTGTGCGTCGTGAAATGTTCAATATTTTTAACGATTGATGTACGCGTGTCGTGTATAGTTGATGTATTAACAGCATACTATATGCATGTCGTAGAAAGTTTTATTATTTACAGCTGACATTGTAAGTCGTAAAAAAAATCATCTGTTAGTATTCACAGCCTATGCAATAGACATGTCGTGGTTGGAAAATTATTTACGACATGCCAAAAAAATAAGTCGTAAAAATGAGAAACCATGGCTTGCATTTACTGTATGTCATTAATGTGGAGCTGTAAAAACTCAATTTTGTTGTAGTGTTAGCACCTAAATTAAATTAAGCACATAATCACAAACACAATTAGAATTAATTAACGTAATATAGAATAGGGTTATCATAGAAACCTAACCGCGCAAGTTTCTAGACTTTCACCTAGACACGAGCCAACATAGATAATTCCACAACCACACCGTCCTACTAGATTCACCTAGCTATTCACCCATTTTTCTCAAAATGATACATTTTCAATGGATAAATATAAAACAATGTTCAATACAAGATATATGAGTAATTGGTTTCAATTAACCTAATCATGCCATTTCTTTAACAATCAAAGTTATCCTCCACTGATAACTGAAAATAGATATCTCTATACAAAAGATAAATCTCCAAACAATAGTTATAATTTCATGATCTCAATATAGAAATGATAATATATATTCAACTCCGCTCTTATCATCAATAGATATATTCATTTTATCATTTTAAAAACTCAACATCTTTCTCTTTGTTCTTAGTCCAAAAACCAATAATTCTATCAAAACATCTATTCCTTCAAAAACACATTTGAAGGAGAGATTGTCAAGATTTCAACCCAACTTATCAATATAACCATCTCCACAACGTTTTTCATGAACCATTTGGAAACCCTCATTTACACTCCCAAAACCGAACCCAAATCAAACCGTAAATCAAACCCATACCTTTCAAATTACTACACTTTTCAATAAACACATAACGAGGCTAAGAATAGTACAAGCAGATTGAAAAAATCCCTACCTGAAGATTAGAAGGAGAGAAGAATAAGACTCGAAGTTTGACAGAGCCAAAAACTAAAACTTTTCCAATTAGAATGTTCATCTCTACGAGCTCTACACTTTTTTCCAAAGCACTACGGCGGTGAGACCAACAGATTAGTGTATAGGGGTGTTTAGATAAGGACTAAAGTGTCACGACCCCATTCCGCCCCTAGTAGAATGATGTTGTAATGGCCAGTAATCCGAGATTACCAAAGGCCAACTTACAAAGATTCACACAAACATAGTATAGATTTGTGGCATACATGTTCAGAAGCAATAAATTCGAGTCTAATTAGTCCATAAGAGTTGTGCACAGATTAAATGGAATGACATACATATTATCATGGCTTTATAACTTGGATACAAAGTAAAATGAAGTACATGTTATATCTTGATCAAAAGGCTTCTCCAGCCTTAATTTACTAAACCAAGAAGCATGATCTTCAAGATGATACAAAAACAAGAACAAAAACATCTTCCACGTAAAGCTTAGGCGACATCGCCTTCTTGATCATCACCTACATATATATATATATATATATAAAAGGAAAAGGGGTGAGCTGAAAACTCAGTGAATGATATAAGTAATAAATATTTGAATGAATGATATCCGAGATCTTTATCAAAACCATATATATCATAGCTTGTAACAAAACAAGGGATGAACCAAGTCCATCAATCAAAGGTTTTCAAAGCTTCTTGGGATGTTTACTAACATCTACATAATACCAAGGGATGACATTCATTGACAAAACAAGGGAATAATCGACCAGGAATTGATTAGACAAGCCCACTTACCGAAGCCGTCGGTGGCAAGGGAGATATCTCAAGCAAAGGTACTAGTTGCATTATAATCCACTACCACTAAGGACTTTCCAAGAATGTCATCAAAATAACATAATACTTGATACAAAACTTAAGGATAATCATTCATACATGATCAAACACTTTTTCCAAAAAAAGCAAAGCTTTTACCAAAACATTATAACATAACTTTATTAAAAATACCACTCACAATAGCTCTTCAGATGTAAAGATTAAGGCAAGGATCCAAGACCTACAAGTACATAGCAAAATCCATTGAAGGCATTTCAAGAAGACAAGAAGAAATGTTCAAAGATGACTATGCAATGCACTCTTTGAATAGCTTCAAATAAGTAAAATAGATCCTTGTATTTCTTTCCAAAGCCAAGTCAGGATATAGAAAAACATATGCTGGAAGTTAAACCACAATTTTTCTACTTGGAAAAGCATGTTGGGTACAAAACTTGGTCTCGGAATGGATGCACAGAGATGAGCTGGGCCGAAATGGCTTAGCTGGGTGAATTCAGGAGGTCTTAGCCGAGGTGTGGTTTCCTTGGCCTAGGTGTGGGGCTACCTGTCGAGATATTACAAGATGCCGACAAAGGTGTACTACGGTTAACCTAGGTATGCGGTGGTCGGCCTAGGTGTGCAATGGTCGGCCTAGGTGTGCATGCAAGATAAACTAAGGTGCCTATGATAAGATATAATGCTTGGCCTAGGTGTGAGGTCTAGATAAGAGTGGGTCTCGATGACCAAACTTAGGGAAATAGTGAAGTCTGTAAATCTGGGTTTTCTCTTGAAGAACATGAATGCTAAAATCATAACTTTTTATTCAAAATCTGAGGTTTCATGATATGAGTTCAAAAAAACATGGACCTGGGTACCCATACTTGAAGATTTCGTGAAAACTAACACAAAAACATGGAACCTTATACAAACTTTCGGATTAAAACATGGTTTTTCTTTAAGAACACAAGAACATCACTTTCTCTCTCTAAAACAAAACTTCAAATCAATGCATGGATTATGAATCATTCTTGATCATGCAATGTGATCAGATTAACATAAAGAACAACAAGAGTGGATCAAGAATCTAACCTCAAAACACGAATCTAATTGTTCAAGATTTGAAAATCAAGCTTAGAGATCTAGTTCTTACTCTAAGAACTTCTTCTTCTTCTTCCTAGAGCTTCTCTCTCTACAAGGCAAAGATATGGCAAATGATATGGGTTCTCAACTACAAATATGACTTAAACCACTACTGGGACACGTGGCATCATCTGATCAAGTCTCCTCAAAAGGTGTCAGAATGAAAAGACAAGGGTAGGTCAAAGTGTGTATAATAAGTAAGGTAGTATGGGCACTCGGATAAGAAAATGATCCCAGATCAAAACAAAGCTTCAGACAAATAAGGTTTCCCTGATCTCGGATGGGAAGGACAACACTTGGCCAATGTATGCCACACCTAGGCCTAGGTTGTAACAGTCCTGGAACAAGATTGCTAGGTTCAATGGATTCCTAGATGATAAACATCTCGACCTAGATGATTCACCTTGTAGACGTGCCCGAACGTCCCGGCTCCGCGCGCGAAGGCGCAAAATCCATTTTCGTTCATTAGCTACTACCGTTCGGACTCAATGTCGCGGTTTTGAATCTAATCTTGCAAAGTGCAAAGCAAGATTGATAAATCACCAAAGAATCCAAATCTGGCAAATCGTTTTGGAAAACTGATTTTTAATAAAGAAGTGCCAAACATGGACTGCTTTGCCAGATACAGAGTCGCCACCTAAATGTTTTGTTTTGGAAAATTTAGGAAACCCTGACTCGTGCCTAAGGCAACATGTCCGTCATCACCAAAGTTGCCTCGGCTCGGGAACTTGGATACGAGAGGGGAAGGTCATGCAATGAGCACCCCTGCTCACCCAATCAAAGATCGGTCTTTACTCACATGATATTTGTTTTTGAAAGCACATGTGCTCTTATTCTGGTTATTAACCTAGAATTTACTATGAGATGCGCACAACATACAAGTATAGACTAAATCACCTAAGTTGGAACAAAACATTGCATATTCGTTTGAAAATGGTTTGAAGGTGCTACTCGCAAGTAGGCTAAGACGTGGATTTGCCACCCTCGAGTGGGCTTAAGAAAACATGATGATTTGCCACCCTCAAGTAGGCTTAAAACTCGCATTTCGATAAATTGTTCCAATTCAAGCAGCCCAACCTTCACCCACAACACTCAGGCAGTTATATCATTTAAACAAATAGCCTCATGGCAAGCATGCTAAACATGGCAACACTTACACGCATGCAAGATACTCAAGCATAAACACTTACAGTGTACTCCGAGCCAAAACAACAACTAGTTAGTAATCATGCATGATCCTAGTTTATATTAAGATGGCTAATGCAACACATGCAAAATGCAACTAAAAATAGGCTCGGCTATTCTAAGATGGCATATGAGATGCAACTTGATACATGTATTCAAATCGGAATTGAAATACAATGCGGTTAGTATGATGCGCCGAGCCCGGTGCATGTAAGACAGATGAATAGATGCAAACATGCAAGCATAAGGATGTTAATCGAAACATGAGCCTAGAACTAACCATCGTAAGCGGTTAAGTAAAAGGGAGAAAGACGTGGGGTTGGAAGACATTCACACACTCACGCAAACTTATTACAAAATTCGCCCTCTCGATGGAGGGTCCGAATAAATAAGCTAGGCTAGCTACGCTACACTATGCAACTAATCTAATAATCTACTTAGACTAGCTATTACAATACCAAAACTAATTAACTAACAAGCTAATTAATTACTATAGTCCAAATTGAAACAAATAGCTACACTAAGCTAAATGAATATTACAAAACCAATTAAATGATTAAATTACACGAATTAATCATGAATATTGAAATGG